TAACGTCATCGTTAGGTTCTGCGATTTTAAGCAACCTGACATAACAAAACCAATTGTACCACAGGCTAACTGGTTTAAACAAGAGTTAGGTTCCTATGGCTTCTCATCAATGTAACAAAACAACGTTGAATGAAATGACATTACTTGAGGACCTGCTGTACATAGTAATCCAATTGCTTTGTGGCCCACTGACTCCTAGCCATGCCCAGAAAGTAGGAGCCAGAACAAAACAATAAGGACTCGAATCTACTGGGAAAAAAATCATCATATTCCCCAAAGCTAAACCAAAAGCACTTTTGGGTCATCCCGTCTCCCCCGTCCCCCATTAGTACAGGTCATCTAGTGCCCGGGTGTGCTAACGGGACTGAGCAGCTGAAGCCTTGTGCGTGAGGAGGGAGCACTCCCTCTCTCATCCTCCCCCTTCCCAGAGTCAGTGCACAGTCTGGTGTGCTGCCATACCGAAGACAAAGACTTCGCTCTGCTGAGGATGCCACGCCAGTGAGGTAGGAAGGTAGCCAGAGGCACTGCAGCCTGCAAAGGAGAGAAGAGGGGTCGGGAACATGACTCAGAGCCCAGCTCGGAGAAGCTTCTCAGATGAAGTCACTTTAAATCTCAGGAGCACCTTTATCTGGTTTCCCAAACCCCACTAAGGCAGTTGTGTCCTCATCTTTGACCCTCACTCATAACCTCCATTTATCCATCAGCCTCCTACCCTTTCTAGGCATGAGTCACAGACAAGTGTCGAGCATAAAATATGAAGGTAACAACTCTGGTTCTTTTGTCCACCCATCCCAGAAATGTAAACTGCCCACCCAGGAACTGGCCCTTCCTCTTGGTACTTGCTGCACAAAATGACATCAGCAGAGCCTCACTGGGAAAGAAACAGTTATTGTCACTTATGTCACTGTGACTGGGCATCTGGCAACTCCGCCTCTGCCTCTGGCAAAGGAACGCCTCTTCCAGGTGGGGTCCTAGTACCACACTCCCACCACTGGCTCCCAGACTCACCCATCTGTGATGCTGGCTTGGGGCAGCGTGTATCCCAGAGTAAAATTCTACTATCCTAGAAACAGAGGAACAGAAAAAGGGCTTCTGAATCCAAAGAAGCAGTTGCCAGCTTGGAGGTCTCCACACTAGACTCTGGCCCAGCGAGTGTGAGCGCGGTTAGAGAGTGGGAAGGAAAGAAGAGGCTGCATCTCACCTCACTGCATGAAAGAAACACGGAGTCCTGGTGGGGAGAGGCAGCAACACAAGTGACCGGCCCAGAGTGAGCTGTAAAGGAGAGAGAAATTAGACAAAACCTAAAAGGAAATGTTGATGGAGTTATAAAACCGAAAAAGGTTTGGAAAAAAATTAATTAGTAATGACAACAAAAGAGAAATTAGGGGCTGAGTAAGAGTAGTGAAGGAATTTACTGTTAAGACATCCTGGAATAGCAGTTTTCACATGGTAGGACACATGCCTGCAGATAGTATACACAAACTTTCAAGGGAGTTCTGGACACTGAGAGTTTTAAGGGAATTCTTGAATGGTCTCTTTCCTAGAATTTATCTGAGAAGCTGCCTATAATCCGTCAGGGCCCCCTTTCCGCCTCTGCTTTCACAATCGCACTTCTCCCACTGCATAGAAAGAACGCACATCTCTCACCCACCCTAAACCCTCCCATGGTACGATGCTCAGCAGTATAAAAACCAAAGGTATAAAACAAAAGGGGCTTCTCCCTAAGAGCCAAAGAGCAAAAGGAAGAGCATCCGGGTAAAGTTCAGTGGTGGGGGCTGGCAGAGAAAAGCACCTGGCCATTGAGTGAACCGCATGATCACTTAGCATCCACCTCTCTTAGCCACATGCATATTAACGCTCTAGACATTATCTTCATGAAGATACAGTATATGAATATTCAAAAGGTCAAGACTCACAAGCCTCAGGATTTATACTTAAAGAATGCCAAGGAGCTACTGTAAAAGGGTTTGAATGCTATGACAAGAAAATGGGATTTTAATCTGTAAGCCACAAGGGACCAAGGAAAGACCAAAGATTACAAGTGGAGAGATGAGATGGGTGCCACCGTCTGAAAGTCAATGGGAGCATAAGGAATGGGAAGGAAGGTCACCGACCAAATGGAAAGACTCAAAAGAACTTGGTGATCAGCGGACAGTGGGAAAGCAGGAGGAGTGGAAGGGGACTGAGTTTGAGCCTCAGGTGGCCAAGAAGGTGGTGAGGTCATCAACAGAAATAGGGAAATTAAGATAAGAGTAAGGGATGGACATTGGGGCCTGCCTATAGTTTGGAAAGAAAACTACCAGGCGGGAGAGCAAGGATCTGCCACCCCTAATATCCACGCAAAGTTCAAAGAACCCAAAGGGGAGACTACAGACATACAGCTAAGGCCAGGGCTGCAAAGGAAAGAACGGGCACTCACCCCGGTATGAATTCAGTACCATCTGCTCAGCAAGGTCCCACACCTTGATGCTAAGAAGCAAAGGAAACAGATAATTTTCACGTACACTATCGACATAAAAATATGTGTTTCAACAAGAAATTTCCTTTAACTGACATGTCCTATGTTTCTGCCTACTGGGCTTCTGTTACCATCTATTTACAATGGATTGCAAAATCTCCAAGGAAGCTTTACGACATGTCATAATTAGTCACTACATTCTTATAATGATCCCAAGACTTTACTTAATGAGGCTAATAGGATAATAAAGACACCCAAAGGAGGCCAAGAGACAGGAGCAATGAGAACAAGGACCCACCAGAAGTCTTTACTACCGCTGACAGCTTGTGTGCCAGAGCTCAGGACACTGACTGTAGACACTATGTCATCATGCTCGTACTTGCAGAACTTGCTGACAATGAGTGTCTCGTTCTCATCCAGCTCCCACAATTCAACAGCACCTGTTAGGGATGAGATGGAGGGTGAGGGAAATGAATGAACTTGGATTATATAGAGACAGTAATTCACTTTTAGGATTCAAGTTGTCCATTGTCACTAAACTAACAAAATAAGTTATTCCTATAAAAGCAAAGTTCATATTAAAGGGTTTTGCTAACTTCCAAGCCATTTGGCTTTATACTAGCATTACCAGACAGGTGGGGAAGGCTTCTATAAAAAGCCAGGTAAAGATGGAATAGCTGGTAAAATCTATTACCCTGCTTCCAGTGAGAAAACATTGGAAAATAAGTTCCCAGGGAAAAAGATGAGGTCTCCACAATTGTCTGTGTAACACATAGTCCGGTGTGGTTAAACCTTCCCAATTATAATATATATGTGTTGAACAATTTAAATAAATGTCTTACAGTCTTTAAAATTATGTTGAATAATTCAATGTCTTGCACAGTGACTGGTTAAGTACAACCTCCCCTTCTCAAAAGTTGTCTTGAACATGTAGTGTTCAACTGTCAGAGAGGCTCAATTTTTAATGTCCACATTTACCCTTCCATGCAATGCCTGCCAGCACCCAAATTCTGATTTTTTAAAAAATACCAAAGCCTCCACTGCTGAGCCTGACATTTAAAACAAAGAAAGTTGAATGAAGGCATTTAAGAAGAAAATAGAAAGAACTGGAAAGAGCACAGATTGGCTTCAGCACCATCTTTGAGATCAAGATTATCGTTGGTCTGGATTGGAGGGATACAGGGAAGGTTACATGAAAGAAAAATGGTTCCAGCCTATTTCTTAATTTTGTTGTGGATTTTGCTAGAAATTCCCACCAGGCAATTTAGAATCTTGGAAAAGGTATTTCCCACCTTGGGGACCAACATCCTCAAACTCCTCCAAAGTACTGAGTGGGGACATTAAAAGATTGAACCAAGCCCGACGTGTACCCCTTGGCCTCCATTCTACCTATGGAAAAATGACTCACCTGAATCGGAAGCCACTAGGATAACTCTGTCCCCAACCCAAGTGAGGTCAGCCACTCCGGCCTCCGTCTGGACTCCAGCAGAGCAGAAGCCTTCGTTGGGGGCGGCACAAGGGTCTTTGAAAAGCCAGAGGGAGCCAGCCCAGCAGCGGCCGCTCAGGCTGGAGGCCCCAAGCAGGAGCGCCCCATCTAAGGGAGGTACAAGCTGTCAGAGGGTGAGGCTTTAAGGGCTCGTCTCCATGGCGACCGCACTGAAAACCACGCGGGCCGGGTCCGGATCTGAGCTCAGGAATACCAGGCAAGGTTAGGAACTGAGGTTAGCGACACAAGGCAGGGGTCAGGATGGCAGGCAGGGCGGGGGCGGGCTGGAAAGATCAGTCCCGGGAATGGTCACCCCGAGCCGGGCGGAGGGAACCCCAGGCCCGTGATCTCAGCTCACCCGACCGGTACCGCGCAGCCTCCAACTGCCGCTCCATACATGCCGGTGCATTAGGGGGAAGATTCCACTCGCGGGCTGCGGAAGGCACTAGGGAAGGCGGAGTTTCCTTCCTCATCTCCACAGTTCCAATTCCAACCTAGACCTAAACTGAACGCCAGCGGGAGATGCAGCTCAGACAGTCCCCACGTGGTGTCCCTCTGGGTCTCCGCCCATCTAGACAGACAGGCACTCTACATCTCGCGAGAATTCCTTCTACGGTTCCATTCCGCTTTCCGGCTGCGGTCCTCGGGCAGCAGTTTCTCTATGCTCTGTTCCTCTTATCGCGAGAAAAAAAATGCGAGACGAAGTAGAGTGAAAGAGGTCACACGTTATCTTCTCGCGAGGTTTGCGAGCGACCATCTTGCTCCTGCCCCTGACAGACTCTGTTCCAGGTCAGTGGGACGCTAAGACCGCCGAGTGACCCCTCGCTGACCATGTTGTCCCGGGTGGTACTTTCTGCCGCCGCCACAGCAGGTGAGAGGTGTACAACCGGGTCCAGGCTTTTAGAGTGACTGTAAAGAAGCGCGTCTAGTTACGTGGAGGGGGTGGAAGGAAAGGTGAAGAAAGGTGCATTGAGACTTGGGCCTGAGTGGGGAGTGATTAGCCCTTCTCCGAAGGTAACCGTAGGGGTCTCGGGGTGCAGGAAAGAGGGGTGCATGGCCTTACTGACCAGGCTCCGCGAGGGCCGAGGAAGGGGCAGACCAAATTTCACCTTGACCTTGCTGACCTGCGCCTTGTGTTTTTGCAGCCCCCTCTCTGAAAAACGCAGCCCTCCTCGGTCCAGGGTAAGTGAGAGGGGTGTAATAATCCCCTTCGTCCATGTTTATCATCTCATTTCGTTTCTCGGTGACCTCATAGCTTTAGGCCAGAAATTACGTTTCTTTGGGTAATTTTGGAACGGGTAAAGCCTCATTCAAACACTTGCACTTCTGTAACTGCCTGGAACATCGTCGTAAATGCAAAGTTGAGTATAAGTGATATGTTCTAACTAAGCTAGAAACTGGTTTTGTTGTCTTCTGAGCCCCGCCCCTCTCACTTTTGACCTTCAGCTAGACATAGCTGCCGCAGCCGGCATCAAGAGTTCCTAGATTGCATACCCAAGGACAAGTTTTTTGGGGTTTTTTTGTTGTTGTTGAATTTATTGGAGTAACGTTGGTTAATAACATCAAGTTTCAAGAACACGGTTCTATAGTACATCATCTGTATACTGCATTGTGTGCTCACCATCTAACATCTAGTCTGTTTCCAGCACCTTAAGTTTGACCTCCTTTATTTATCCTCTTCATCTTCACCCCATCCCCCTTCCCCTCTGGTAACCACCATACTGTTGTCCATGAGTTTGTTTGTTCGTTCGTTTGTTGCTTCCTGCTTTATAGCCCCCATATGAGTTAAAACAATGAGGTGTGTTATTTTCTCTTTCCCAGATTCTGACTTTTATTGCCAGATCCTAAGAGTCAGAAATCCACCAATTCAGTCATTGTTTATTTGCCACCCATATAACCAGAGCAGAAAAATGAATAAGGCTTATAATACCTGCTTTCATGTAGCTCATACACCGCCTAGAGAAGAAACGACTATAAAGTGTGGTTTAGAGCAGGGGTCCCCAACCCCAGGGCTGCAGACCAGTACTGGTTTGTGGCCTGTTAGGAACCGGACTTGTTAAGAACCAGTGGCACAGCAGGAGGTGAGCAGCGGGAGGGAAGCTTCATCTGTATTTGCAGCTGCTCCCCAGCACTAGCATCACCGCCTCAGCTCTACCTTAGGAACTGAGGTTAGCGACACAAGGCAGGAGTCAGGATGGCAGGCGGTGCGGGGCGGGCTGGAAAGATCAGTTATTCTGAAAGATCAGAATCATCGGATATTAGATTCTCATAGGAACACCAGTCCCTGCTGTGAAAAGGTTGGGGACTGCTGCTTTAGAGTGAAGACTCCAAAGCTAGAAGAATGAAGTACACCTGGCTCCTCCACGTACCAGCTGTGCGACCTCAATTTCCTCATCTGAAAAATGGAGATAATAGCACATCATGGGTTATGAAAATTAAGAGACAGATCCTGTGAAACTATAAAAATAGTGCCTTGTACGTAGTATGTGCTTAGTAAATGTTAGCAACTGTTACCGCCAATATTATTTCATAGAACATGTAAATTTTATTTGAGATTTCTCTTTACTTCCAAACTTAGTCCTAAATCTTGCAAAATTTGGTAACTGTTTTATGGCTTGAAAAAGTGACTTTAATCAAATTTTGTGTATGTGCAATAAAGTGAGCTTATAACTATCAGAGAAAAAACTTTCCGTACAGACAAGTAAATAATCATAATACAGGTAATAAATACACCAGATCCATATATAAGAAATAAGGAACATCATCGGTTTCACCTTCTTTTACATTCCGTATCTAATACACCAGCATGGCTCCTGCACCAGATTATATCTGCACTCTGACCACTTCTTCCACTACTACTAGAGAGTGAACCTCCATCAGCTTTCACCTAGGATATTCATTAGTTTCTTAGTCTCCTTGCATCTCTCTTGTCCCATTATAGCCCGTTCTCTCAGTAGCTATAGGGATTATGTCAGTCTTCCACTCAGCTCCACAAACCCTCCAGAGTTCCCCATCCCACTTGAAATAAAATCCAAACTTACCATAACCCAGAAGGCCCAAAATGAATGGATCCCATCCTTCCTCTTGATTTATCTCCTCCTATTTTTAGCTCATTTTGCAGCCATGCAAGCCTTCTTGCTGTTCTCTGAATACTCCCAAGCTTATTTTTGCCACAAGAGCTTTGTACTTGCTCCTCTCTCTTTTCTCCAGATCATTAGCTCAAATGTCCTCTGACCTCCTACCAAAAAAAGCCTTTCTCCCACTCTCTTGCTCCCTATCCCCTTACCTTGCTCCACTTTTCTTCAGAACTTACAGCTGCCTGAAATTGTGTATGGACCTATACACTCACACTTCCCACTCACCCACTAGAGTGTTGAAGGCTGGGACTTTGCTCATTCTTATGCTCCCAGGGCCTGACACAAGTAGAAAATCAGTAAATGTTTTGTGGAATGAGTAAAAATTACTCCAAGATTATAGAGATGCCTTTATAAAGGATATACTTCTAAGGTTAGTTGGGCTTGGCAGTTATTAAGTGAAAGGCATGCCAGGCAGAAGAAGCAGCATGAAGCACATTTTTGTGGGGGGTTTTTTGTTTGTTTTTGAGAGATGTAAGTAGTTCCATATGGCTGGAACGTAGGAGAATGAAGGAAGGTAAGATTATATTTGCTGAAACATGTAGGTTGTATTAAGTAGTGTGTTTTTCATAGGCAGGAGGGAGCCTGCTGATGAGTTTTAAAGTCAAGTTTGCATTTTAAAAGCATTGGCAGCTAGTGTGGAGGGGGCTAGGTTTAAGTGGTATTTGAGGAGAAGCAGAGAGACCATGCTTTGGATTGTTAATGAGTTTAGTCAAGAGATGATGAAGGCTTGAAGTAAAATAGCCAGTTGGGGAGAGGATTTGTGTCAGCCTAAAGTAATTCTCTGGTGCTCTGGTTAAAATCAGTGGTTCTCAACCTGCGGCAATTTTTCCCTCCATGAAACACTTGGCAATGTCTGGAGACATTTTTGGTTGTCACCACCAAGTGGGAGTGGGGATGCTATACTGAATGCTTCTAGTGTGTAAAGGCCACAGAGATACTGTTGATCACTTTACAGTGCACAGAATAGCCTTCCACAACAAAGGACTGTCAGTAGTCCCAAAATGTCAGTAGTACTGAGGTTGGGAAACCCTGATTTAATGAAAGAATTTTGAGCATGATTCTCAGATTTCAGAAGTTGATGGGGTAGCTAATCCATTGGGAGGCAGAAATAGTATTAAAAAGACAAGCAATGAACCAAAATCAGTGAAATAATATAAATTCTTATGTTGCAAGGGGATACAGATAGAGAGAATGGGGAAGTAAGGGACAAAAACATACTGAATATTCGAGGGAGGCTAAGCTTGACAGCAGATATGAAAAAGACTAGAGGATTTTATTTCATTAGAAATGTAATGAGACACCAATATGCTGTAACTGCTAAAAATGCAATCTTAGTCTACTCTAATACAGGATTAATAAGCAAATCATGATACTAGTGTAATAGTTCAAGCCCAATAATGGCAATAGCAAGTTCAAAATATGTATTTGTAGAATCAATGATTTGGTCAAGCTATATTTAGAGTATTATGCTCAGTTCTGTATACCTCATTTTTGTAAACAAAACCAGAGAGCTCCTTGTGGTAGACAGTCAGGATTGTGAGGGGAAGAGGTGTTTAACATGGATATAAGAGCATTATCTTCCTTTCAGAGAAAAATAAAATTAGAACCAATGGATGGAGGTTTCAAGAATATATGTAGCAATTCAAGTCAAAGGTGAACATAATTAGAGCTATCCAACACAGAAAAAGCATTTCATGTACTGATCAGAACCCATCACAGAGAATATTTAAAAAGGTCAAATTTCTTGCTATCAAGGACACAACACAGTGGACATGTATTAGCTAACTACTTACATCGAATTTTACCATGTGCCAAACACCATGTTTCAAAACACTTTATTAACTCAGTTAATTCTCACAACAGCCCGATATAGTCGTATTCTTTATTCCCACTTAGAGAAATCGGAAATTACAAAAGGTTAAGTCACTTGCTCAAAGTCAAGTGGCAGGTTTAGGATTTGAACCCAGATAGCCTAGTTGCAGGAATCTATGTTCTTATATATTTCAGTGCTAATAGTAGACAAAGAAAGTGCTAGACCGATGACCCATGAGACTTGGAAGGGATTCTAATATTGGGTCGGTTACATACAGCTTTAAGTAAGTCATTTGCCCTTGTCACACAGTTAACTGTTGGACCCTAACCTTCCTATTCCTGGTTTATTCTCTTTCTGTAATGACAGTGGGAAACTGCCTTAATCCTCATCCCCATACTTTGTTTCTAATTATTCATACATTGTATTCTCTTTAAAGAACAAACTTTAAATGTGTAAAATTACTACTATGACAGTGGGAAACTGCTTTAATCCTCATCCCATACGTTGTTTCTAATTATTCATACATTGTATTCTTTTTAAAGAACAAACTTTAAATGTGTAAAATTACTACCTGTAGAGTATTGCAGGCAACAAGGATCTTTCACACTGGGCAGCCGAGTCTTGCCCCTGTACCACCTCTTCCTGAATATGGAGGGAAAGTTCGTCATGGGCTGATCCCTGAGGAATTCTTCCAGTTCCTTTATCCCAAAACCGGTGTAACAGGTGAGCGCATTTGCTTGATGTTTGATAGTATGTTTGGATGGTATAGTTTATGTTAACCTAGGATTTTAGTGGCCTCTTACCTCTTCCACATGTACCACAAAAATCATGCCAGCTGTTTTTAAAAGGAAATTTTGGAAGTGACCCAGTATAACAGTTGATTTAGTTGCTCTAACGTGTCTTTGGAATAAATGTGTTTGAGATTTTAACTTGATTTTGTAGCATTGTCTCCATTTGTTGGTATACCAAATTTACTGAATGCTTGCTCTATGCCAGGTACTGTTCTAGGCCTACAGTGGTGAACTAAGGTACCTACCTTCATAGAACATACATTCTATTGTAGGATAGACAGTAAAGAAATGAATAATGGTGTTGTATATATACTGTCAGGTAATGGAAAGAGCTGTGGATTAAAATAAAGCCAGGTAAAGCAATAGAGATTATTAAATTGGATATATAAGCATGAAAACAGAAATAGGGTCATACTTACCATTTTCTCCCCTTTTAAAAAGGCATAAAGTATTCTGAAACATAACATTTTTATACTGCAATATGCTTTCAATTATTGTTACTTAATCCTTACAACAATTTTATTTTTTTATTACTAGAAAACCAATAATTCGCCAAGATCGTTCTCTTTTTAGTGACTGAGTTGTACTAGTTGTACTTGTCCTCCAGATAAGTTCAGTGTTCTTTCCATTCTTACTGTACCCAAATACTGCTATAACTGTGGAACATTGGAAACCAAAGATTTATTTTTAATCCTCCAAGGAGTGGCCTAAAATAGCACTTCCCTAACTGAAATTGCAAGAAACATTAGTGTCCTCCGATCTCCAGAGATGACTAAAATGTTACATATAGTAGACTCGAATCTTTGAGAAGCTCTGGGTAAAATATATTTGAGACTGCAGTTCACCCTTGAGCAACAGGGGTTAACTGCATGAGTCCACTCGTACAGAGATTTTTTTTCAATAAATGCTCTAAATGTATTTTTTCTTCCTTATGATTTTCTTAATAACATTTTCTTTTCTCTAGCTTTATTGTAAGAATACAGCATGTATAAAATACAAAATATGTGTTAGTCAACTGTTCATTATCAGTAAGACTTCTGTTAACAGTAGGCTATTAGTGGTTAAGTTTGGGGGGATTCAAAAGTTACATGCAGATTTTTGATTATGCAAGGGTGGGGGTCAGTGCACCTCATGTCCCCACTCCCCCATCACATCGTTCAAGGGTCATTGTATAACGCTTTTATTTGCATAATACATCCTAACTTCCTTTGACGACTAGTGTTGCTCAAAAACACTGTAAAATGTTGTCCTAAAGGCCTACTTTGTTCCTGCTTAGCCTTTTGTGAGACACAAAGGAAAATCCTAAAGAAATATACACCATGGTTTGTGTTCTTTCAGAGCTCATGTCCTGGTTAAAGAAAAAGTTTGCCATATTTGAAGCATTATAATTAGATGCTATTGGAATTGAGAATGCTGATATTTAATTCTTCCATATATATATACTACTATATAATTTTGGTTTTGTTTTTTGTTTGTTTTTGCTTATGTCCAGTAACAGGTTCCCATTCAATAAAAATAGGCAACAATGGATAGATTTTATTCTGACCAGTGTTCACATTCAATAAATTGTATATTTTGCTACACAAATTACTCGTGAAAGTTACCTGACATCTTTGTAGAGTAGTTGCTGTTTGTTGAGCAGTTGTGCCAAGCACTTTACATACATTATTTCTCAGTTTTATCAACCCTGTGAAGAAGATTCTGTTCCCATTTTACAGATGAGGAAACTAAGCTCAGAGAGCTTATTTATGTTGATGTTCCTTATAAGTTGCAGAGTCAGGTTTCCTTGAGTCCAGATTCTTGTTCTTTCAACTCTGTCATACTGCTTCTCAATCCAGTGTTCTGTCTTTGAATCTAATTATTTTAAATCGTTACTTAACTTTGCTATCAACTAATTAAATGCAGAAGTATATTTCTCTCTTCCCTTTTTAGACCTAGCATGTTCATCATAAAATAACTTTTTCTTCTTTTAGGACCCTATGTGCTTGGAACTGGGCTTATCTTATATTTTCTGTCCAAAGAAATATATGTGGTTACCCCAGAGACCATCTCTGCCATATCAACAATAGGGTTGCTTGTCTATGTAATTAAAAAATATGGTGCCTCTATTGGGGAATTTGCTGATAAACTCAATGAGGTAAGAACTGTAAACCTTATTTCCCATTTTAGGCTGTAGTGAAAGCATCAAGGTCATCAAGTGATGTTTTTGATGAGAATGTATGTATACTCACACATATATTCAATTAAATTAGGAATTAGTAAATACAATTATAGGTGTTAATATTAGTTACTAATTTGAGATCAGAAGTTGAGATAAATTTTTTTAAATCTACCAAACTTTCTTCAGCTTTTCCATAGTTTTGTTCATTCAACAAAATATTCTGTAGCTATTATGGGCAATTCTTTTTAAGGATTTGTGCATTTCTCTCTATATGTTTCTTCGTGGGTGTTTTTACGAATGAGGGGTAAAACTTTGATGAAGAATAAAATGAATCTGTTTTTATTACCCTTGGTGCTTTCACTGATCTTTGTTATATAAATGTCATAATTGCAGCAAAAAATTGCCCAACTAGAAGAAGTGAAGCAGGCTTCCATCAAATACATCCAGGATGCAATTGATACGGAGAAGTCACAGCAGGCACTGGTTCAAAAACGTCATTACCTTTTTGATGTCCAGAGGGTAGGTTTCAGAACTTTCTAAGGAAAATGAAATTACCTACTTGTGTGCATTTAAAAAAAAATTTAGACTCTCTTGTATAAGGAGTGGTTGAATAGATTGAGTTTATTTTATTTAGAAGAGAGAAGATATGAGTGCAGGCTGGCAATTACAGCTACTTAGACATTTAAGACGTATCAAGTAAGTAAATAATTAGAATCATTACTCTAAAATTAGAAAGAATAAAGTTATAAAAGAACACATTTTCAATCCATACAACAGAAAATAGTACTTAAGTTATAGCTGGTTAACAAATGACATTTACTGTCTAAGGTCATGGGCAAAATACATGCTTTTTATTTCATACATGCTTATACAAGAAAATATACCTTGCATTCCAAATTCACAAAGCAGATTCAGTTAGTAGTAGGGTTTTTTACCATGGTCAGAGCATAATTAAATTCTAATATATTTAGTTTCTAAAACAACTTTAGGAACATGTTCAAGTATTTTGTTTTTATTTACTTTGAGCCCAGTACTTTATGCCTGATATTTACAGTGAAATGTCCTTTTGTTGCAATTTTATTTTATAGAAGCACCTTTGAAATGAAACATGAAATGCTAAGGTAAAGTAAGTATCTGAAACATTAGGGTTCTAGGCCAGTGTTTCTTAGTGTGGTCTCAGGATCACATGTGTATCAGTCATCTGGTACAGGTTTTTGGACCCATTGCAGGACTGGAATCAGAACTTCTGCTAGGAACTATCCAAGAATCTATATTTTTTCGAAACAAGATCTCTAAAGATTTTTAAGCACATGAATGTTTGAAAACCTTAGAAAATTTTAAAACTTCTTTCCATGCTTATTTAAGTTATAACCAGAGAATGCTTTCTGTCTTATACATAATATGTACACACACAAAGTCTGGCTTTTGAAGATGTAACTTTTTCAAAAGAATCAAATGATAGTCATTAAAATTTTTATTTATTAATGGAATATTTATTTAATGGATATTTATTGTG